TTCGTTAAATTGTACGTAAGATTGAAATCTTTCATGTTTTTATCATAATTTTTTATTAAAGAGCTCTCATACTCGTGGAGCAATGATATCACAAAGTCGTAGAAATGTTATTTTCTCCGTTTGTTTAGGCCCCCTCTGGGCCTGGCTACTTCAATTTGGAAACTAGCAACTTTGCTAACTCTAATAATCTATTTTAATTAAATTTTAAATTTTTATATGATATCAAATGAAAATATTTTGAGATTTCTATATTTCTTGTTTTTCATTTTATCTTCTTGATCGTCCATCCCTTAATCATACTTCGGCTAATTTTGAAAATAAAAAGAAATGAATTTTTTGGATGTTCTTGCAAGAATGAACTATTTTTCCAAACCCAGTATCTCAGAACTATTTCTTACAAAAGCATTAATTTTTTTGATCCATTTGGAAAGTATTTTATTAATATTTTGGTATACAACAGTGCTTGCAAACAAAGTCATTAACAATCACAAACGTTTCTGTTGAGAAATAAGTTATCCTTGATCAGTCAATGGTTTAAATGGTACCCTTGTGATTCATATGGAAGGTGACTTGAAATGACGTCCACATTCTCATGGCAACATTTCCTTTGTATTTTATTTATTTCAGTACCTGTCAAGTTACCTGTACCCTCTGTTGAATGTTCTCAATAACATACAAATATCTATAAATAAAGAAGGTAAATTCAACAACCATCCTATCCCTTAAATTCAATGTTGCACAGCTATAAAATAAAACAGCTGTGCAGGAAAGGAAAAAATATATGAAATAAAATGTTTAAATAAATTTAGTTTTCACCGTTCATCCTGAAAAGAATCTGTAAAATCAGTCTTAAAGTTTAGTTCATATTAAACCCCATTGTTTGTTTTAGTTTCAGGGTAACATTTTTTTCCGATTTTCAAATTCATTTTTTAATGCTTACTTTAGATTCAAAACAGAGTTTTTCTATAACAAAATTTATTATTTTAAACAAATGTAATTTAAATTCAATTTCAGAGAATAAACCAGACTCAACAAGTTCCTCCCAGTTCTCATCATTTCCTTCCTTCCTCAGTCATCCCAAACAGCAGCAGAATCAACAACAGCTGCATCTTCAGCAAACGCAGTATAACAAACAACAGCAACAGGCGCATCTCAAAAAACAACAGGTTTTCCAGAACTTTTCTCCTGCATCTAATCCTCTAGAAGAAGCACTCAACTCCAGACTGCCTGATTTCAGTAACACTTATAGAAACCATGGTTCAACACAGTTCAAGCAACAAGTTTCCAACACAGACTTTGAACAGTTAATATCACGTCTAAGACAAGGTATTACAAAGCAGTTTAAAAAGAGGTTACGGTAAATTAAAAGCGGTGGATGAAATGGTTTTGATGGAGTAAAAGCAGTGGATAAAGTGGTTTTGATAGAGTAAAAGCAGTGGATAAAGTGGTTTTGATGAAGTAACAGCGTTGGATAAAGTGTTTTTGATGAAGTAAAAGCGTTGGATAAAGTGGTTTTGATGAAGTGAAAGCGGTGGATAAAGTGGTTTTGATAGAGTAAAAGCGTTGGATAAAGTGTTTTTGATGAAGTAAAAGCGTTGGACAAAGTTTTTTTGATCTAAAGTAAAATGGGTGGATAAAGTGGTTTTGATGAAGTGAAAGCGGTGGATGAAGTGGTTTTGATGAAGTAAAAGTAGTGGATAAAGTGGTTTTGATGAAGTAACAGCGGTGGATAAAGTGGTTTTGATGAAGTAAAAGCGTTGGATAAAGTGTTTTTGATCTAAAGTAAAAGTGGCGGATAAAGTGCAGTTTTGATGAAATAAAAGCAGTGGATAAAGTGGTTGCAGAAGTAGAGCAATGGATAAAGTGGTTGCAGTGAATTAAAAGCTATGGATAAAGTGGTTGTGGTGAAGTAAAAGCAATGAATAACGTGGTTGTGTTAAAGTAAAAGTGGTGGATATAGTGGTTGAGGTGAAGTTAAGGCGATTATTATTACTATTATTATTATTATTATTATTATTATCATTATTACAATTATTAAGGTGAAAGAGTATCTGTAGGTAAGAATGATATATCTGCTTTAACTAAAGTCTGGGAGCATCAAGGTGCTCGAAACCTTCAGATCCCGCAGTTTAAGTCCGGATCAGGATCTTGTCGTATTGAAACCAGGATTAAGTTACACAAGTCAGGGACCTGTATAATGCCAGGGATGTGCCGGGTCGGATCTTACGGAGTTTTTAGAGAGGTAATCATACTTTAACAATTTAAACTCCGCTTTATTTAAGATTGCACTGTAAAACCCCCTTTATGTACATTGTACGGCTACATACATTAGACCAGTGACAGTACCGTACCACACGAACAAAATTATTAGGATTTCACCAGAATTTTGGGTTACGGTGTACATACGGAAATTATCCGGAATTTTTTCCATCTCCTTTACGGCAAAGGTTCCAGAATTCCAGAACTCCTTGTCTGGCAACTGGCATTACTCAATTATTGTTTATTACATAATTACACCAAAATCTGTTTTTTTACAAAATGAAAAGACATATTGTAACAAAGTATCAAATCGAAGCAATGATTATTAGAATCGATCAATTAAACCTTTTTCCATTTTGAAGTGGGTCCAATTTTACAAAAGAACTCAAGAACTAAGTGTTTTCTTATAGGGACTGTAAACGTAATTTCAAGTGACAGACTTTTCCTTATTAGTTTACATCGCTTGTTATTGAAACACACTTTCATGGGCAGCCATGAGTGCATTTGAATTTCCGAGCCGGGTCGACCTTGCCGGTCCCAGTTTGTACGGTGTCCCCCGGACATTGGGTAAAAAAAGCATACACTCAATAGGACTAGCCGGTACAACAAGGTTGACGCGGTCAGACTTTAGGTTGAATTTACTTTTACTACAGGGTCAGGGGTGCATGCTTTGTTTGCAAGCTGCTTTTTATCTATAGAGTATCAACATTTACTTTCTAGAAGTGGGCGAATATAAATATTTACATTTGAATTTGGAAAATTGCGACGGACATACAGAGCGTCCCATAGCATATTAGATTATCTCAAAGCTTTAACGCCAAAATAAACATAAAATATTCGAAAAACATAGCATTTCCTGCAAGAAAATTTTTATATTATCCTTATTCAATTTTTCAAAATGATTTATGCTTCTTAGATTTTCTGATTAGTCCCGGAAATCGTAATTTATACCCATTGACGATCTAATATGATATGGGACACCATGTATAATATTCTAAATTTTAAACCAATCAATGTGACGTCATCGGCGTTGAGCTTCATGAAGTACGCTGGCGACGGCGTACGTTCCAATGTCACAGCATTGTTGAGATGTATACACTGAGTTCTCTGCCTTTGATGACCAGTCAAAGGTTTAAAGGGTACTGCTGTGAATCGGGAATGTCCCTATTTAAATAGAAAGATGAAAGTACGCTTACAGTCCCTTCAAGTAAACATATTTTTATAATAAATATCGCCAATTCTTCTGTTTATATTGGTGCATTTTTAAGAAATAATAATTGTTGACATTTTTTTAAAACTCCAACCAGTCACTTCTCTTGAGTCATGCTAGTGCCACCAAATATGGCCGTAGGCCTGAACTGAAGAATTGAGAATGTCACAGCATTGTTGAGATGTATACACTGAGTTCTCTGCCTTTGATGACCAGTCAAAGGTTTAAAGGGCACTGCTGTGAATCGGGAATGTCCCTATTTAAATAGAAAGATGAAAGCACGCTTACAGTCCCTTCAAGTAAACATATTTTAATAATAAATAACGCCGATTTTTCTGTTTATATTGGTGCATTTGTAAGAAATAATAATTGTTGACATTTTTTTAAACTTCCACCAGTCACTTCTCTTGAGTCATGCTAGTGGCGACGAATATGGCCGTAGGCCTGAACTGAAGAATTGAGAAGATAAAATGGTCCTATATAGGGTCATACAAATTTAAATTCTGCTGTTCAGGGTGTATGTATGGATGGTGCCAGCAGGTCCTCGTGTAATGTCGAGGTGGTGGAGTACAAATCCTTGGAAGGAACCTGCTCCCAGGAAGGTCATTGCTCGGCCGGTCAAACCCTAAGCCCGTACCATCATCAGTGCAGACTGTTCCACAAACCAAATACAGAACAATAATATGTTTTATAGTGTTCGTTTAATCCTTATAGAAATACGATTTTGAAATATTTTCTTGAACAGTTTTTTTCTGCATTTCAACCCTTGCAATGATTTGACAAAGTTAATAAATTAACTCACACATTTATATATTATTTATTCTTTTTAGTCAAGACTTCTCGGAATCCTAAAATTATGAAATGTGCAACAAATTTATAAGTTCTGACTATTACAGAGTGAATAAAAATAGGGGTGGGCTTGGCACGTTCAGACGTTTTCCAACCCTTCCGTTAACGGTCACTAAAATCGTTAAAAAGACCGACTTCTCAGTAATTCGTTCGTTCGTAGCTAATAACTGTGTTATCCGTTAATTTTTTAGGTTATCGATTGTTATCGATTTCAATGATTAACGACCTTATTTACGTTATTGAAAAATATTAATTTATAAAAAAAAATATCGGAGAAAGTTAAGAGACGACATCAAAAAATTAAAAATACGTAAAAACAACTAACAAAATTCTTCTTTATTTTCGGTAAGTTTTATGCAATTTTAAGCAGAAAGTTGCTAGGGAACCATGAATCAGATTTAACAATTTTAAACCCCGCATAACGACAATGTCCAGTTGTGAAACTGGAAAAGCCCTCTTTGCATGATGGCAAGTTCAGGACTGGTTTTTAAAAATCTAGATTTTATGGACATATTTTGCAAGTTTTGTTCCGACTTGGCCAAAACTCATCTTTTTTACAAGTTTTTGTTCCAAGTTCAGTCCCATGGTATTTAAAAGTCGAGATATTCTCGACATATTATGCCAAGTTTTGTCCAAGTTCAAACTTCGCAAAAGATTGCATGAAAAACTGGATATTTTTACGAGTTTTTGACGCCAAGTTTATAACCAGTACCTTGCTTTAGTATCCAAAAGTCGACATATTGCCGACATAAGGGTCGACTTTTGGCAAACAAGTTTAAATTAGATTCTTTAACAGTTCTGTTTGCTGGGTTATATACACCCTTCTATCACTACATTTCTCATGAAATTTTGGAAAAATATAATATTCTTTTTCCATTGAATTCAGAAAAAGTTTTATTTTTCATATGAAAATAGTTTTTTATTTACCGAAATAATAAATATTTACAATTAATGCACTTTATTCCATTCTGTGAAAAACCGGCCTCTGATAGGAACATAATAGTAGACATGCTAACTAAATAACTGTACTGTAGTCTCCAAAGGTCAATAGGACGTACCTTGTTCATACAGAAAGCGTACTCAGATGCTGTTTTTCTTCCACCGAACGTATGTACTATGTACACGTCCATCCTAATGACGTTACTTTAGGGGACAATAGTTTGGACACTAGATGTCTCTTCTGAATTCGTATCTGAACAATAACATATTTTACAATTCTCTTGCTTATACAACAGTTTTATAATGTACCACCTAGATAACAGATACATAAAACAACAAATTAAGATTTCAGATACATATCGTTTCGTAAATTACAAAAAGAATATCTGCCAAAAATTATTTGACCTTTTATAATTGTAATGGACAAAACCAAAAAGCAAAAGCCCTATGGAAACATTGGGGTCATTAACCTCTACTTAAGTATACGACTAAAACTGATGCTTCATAGAAAATTCAGCCTCATATCATTATTTATCAGGGTTTTCTGAATTTCATTTGAAAAATCAAAATATTACATCTTTCTGAAATGATTTCAAAGAATTTATATCGTTTAATTAAATAGTTAGTTCAGTAATCGGTTTTTTTATTCAAAAAACATTCGCTAGAAAAATTTGTTCGTGCAGTAAAATACTAGTCTATTCCCAGCCTTCTTCGGTCTAACCGATCCATAAAATGCAAACAAATAGTTACCGATTTTAAAAACTTGTTTTTAAATTTCTCTAAACGATCTCACTTGTTCGTTCATTGCACGTTAAATTTTGAAAATTTCGTACTTTCACAAAATCAAATCCCATCTCCAGACTCTAAAACAAACTAAATCTCTACTTGTAATATCTCTAGCATTAAAAAACTGCTTCGATTTAAATTTTTTTTCTTCAAAAAATGCAGCAAAACACAAAAACAATCAAAACTTGCGGCACTTATTAAATATTAATCGTATTTTGGTTTCTTTGAGGAACTTCCGCCCCCACCGCCTCCTTTCCTCTTTTCAATCAGGGCGGAGATCTAAAAACAAAAAATTTACATAAAACAATTGTTTACTTTATCATTTAAGCACAGTTTTGCTCGAATACCATAAAAACAGTGGTATAACTCAGGTACTCGGTCGTGCTACAGTGGTGGGCAATGAAGGCGACTTTAGATTTCAATTTGATTTATATCAAGCATGGATACACATAAACTTAGAATTCAAGAGAAGCTGTCAAATAAATAGCTTCTCTTTGATTATTTGTCATTACTCATATTAAAGAAAAGAAATGTTACCAATCAAAGCTAAAATAAAAAAGTCGTCTTCATTGTATTTATATAATCGCCTACCACTGTATAATGTTATATTAGCCGAAGTGGGAATTCTTGAATCGTTGATCTCGAACTTTTGTTAATTTACAGATTAATTTAATCTTTATTCGATATACCGTGAAGAGTGTCTTCTGTGGAAAACAAACAGCCAATCAGAAGCCAAGGAATGTAGCATTCAACCAATAAGAGAGAGAAATTGCAGATATCCAAAATCAAGATATCAAGGCGATTCTGCGTAAAATTAAAGAGTGTCCACTGTGAATATCGAGGTGAAGATGTTGTGATTATGGGTATCTGATACAAATGTGTTTACAGCTCTAGCTGTAAACTGTAAACAGTGTGTATATTTAAAAAAAAAAAACTTTCTTATTTCTTTATTGTCGCAAAGCTTATTATGCTGGATAATAACAGGAGAGGAGAACACTTCAGAATTAGATACCCTTAATCCCGATTGCTTAATCTGAATATCCATTGAGGAAACTTTTGATGGGCTTGTTAATCCTTTCTTTTTAGATATCCCTCTACTGGGTTCCCACTAATGAGAGTACGGGAAAGTTGGTCAACTGGTTGCCTCGAAATTTCCCCACTCTAATTGGTTGAATTTTAGACACTTTCTTGGATATATAAAAAAGATTACATTAATCTGCAGATTAAAAAGAGGAGATCAAGCATTGATCTCGATATCCACAATTGTAAAGTTTGGGCTTGATCATTTTTGATTTAACCCGCCTAAGATGTCAAGATGTATCAAATAAAAAAGGGAAAATTATTTTTGGGTCAAAATTTAGTTTTTTTAATCTAAGATTTTAAGGAACATGACAGATAAAATTCTATATAGTTGTCTCGTTAAGGACCCTAAGCATGTAACCGTATACCCAATTTAATTAATTTCTCTTTTTTCCTTGGTTAACTGTAAAATCTCTTTAATTTTTTCATCCCTGTTCAGTGTACAGTACAATTAAACAGGGGTGCATATTTTCTAGTAAAATAATTCCCCCTTTTGAAATAAATTTCAGACGTTTGCAATTCACCAATTATACAAAAAATGTTCAATATCTATAGATCTCAATGTGTACTCTAAATACCGTACTGTCTCTATCTAACAATCTGTGCACTCTACGTACAGTACCGTCTCTATATGCACAATCTGTGTACTCTACATACCGTCCTGTCTCTATCTGTAGTATCTTTGTACTCTACATACCGTACTGTCTCTATCTGTACAGTGTACAGTCTGTGTGCTATACAGACCGTACTGTCTCTCTCTCTGTACAATCTGTGTACTCTACATACCGTACTGTCTCTATCTGTACAACCTGTGTGCTCTACAGACCGTACTGTCTCAATCTCTAAAATATGTGTAGTCTACATACCATACTGTTACAATCTATGTTATCTAAATACCATGCTTTCTCAATCTGACCGAACCTATCTATATGATCTATGTATTTAACATACCGTACTGTCTACTGTCTCTATCTGTACAATCTATAATCTCTAAATACCATGCTTTCTCAATCTGACCGACCCTATCTGTATGATCTATGTATTTAACATGCCGTATTGTCTCAATCTGTGATTTCTTTACTTTACGTTCTATAATGACACTATCTGTATGATATATGTACTTTACGTACCGTACTGGAAGGCAGCTTTTGGAAGAGCTTCTCTTGAAGACATGTACTCTGAGTACTCCTCAGGAGTATCAAAATCCCATCTAAAAAACAGAATGCTTTAACGGACCACCTAGATAATGTAACTTTAATCTATCGACACAATTTCAAGAATTTCAAGTGAGTTCTAATGAAATAGTTAGGTGCCCGAATCTTATTATCTTTGTCTTGGCAAAAACAATGTTCTTGATTTAACTTCTGAAAAATGCGATTTCTCTTTAACAGTGAATTAATAAGGCAGAAAATGAAAGGAAATTGCCATAATTTATCTTTTTTCACCGGGAAGGGTAAATAAAAGATTATTTAAAAACTTACTTTAACGGACCACCTAGATAATGTAACTTTAACGGACCACCTAGATAATGTAACTTTAACGGACCATCTAGATAATGTAACTTTAACGGACCATCTAGATAATGTAACTTTAACAGACCACCTAGATAATGTAATTTAACGGACCACCTAGATAATGTAACTTTAACGGACCACCTAGATAATGTAACTACAATTTCAAGGATTTCAAGTGAGTTCTACTGAAAAAGTAAAATGCCCGAATCATATCTTTGTTTGGGCAAAAACAATGTTCTTGTTTTTACTTCTGAAAAATGCGATTTCTCTATAAAAGTGAATTAACAAGGCAGAAAAAGAAAGGAAATTGCCATAATTTATCTTTTTTACCTGGAAGGGTAAATAAAAGATTATTTAAAAACTAACCTGCCAACAGGACCCTTCTTATTCCCCATATCCATCTTACTGTAATCAGTCTCTTCATCACTGTCACCTAAACATGTACACTGTACAGGTAAATGCATATAAAGTAATTGTAAAAGCATTTGATAGATTTCTAAATAAAAACATTCGGTATTTTTACAAGGCAAATTTTTCGTTGCAAACAAAAAATGGGCCCGATCGGTTCAGCCGTTTTGATGCTTATTGGATAAAAACAGACCAATTTATTTAAAGATGTATGTATGGGTGTCATGTATATATTTGTATACTAAGGAAAAAAAGTATTTAGCACAAGAATAAATTTTTAAAATCCAATCCAATCCAACACGTGATTTTTTGCTGCATCTGTATTCCCTGGGTTCCTAGCTTTCGTTTGATGTGCAGAAAGCCATAGTCAAGACATTTTTAATTTTGAAGAGGTCTTTAGAAGGTCAAACACTGGATTCGTTGCTGCTACAGTATTTCTTTGGTTCCTAGCTTTTAATTGATATGCATAAACCCATAGTTGAAATATTTTATATTTGTGGAGGTCAATAGAGGTCATTAGAGGTCATTAAAATTCAATTTTATTTTATTTTAGGAATTTCCATCACTGATTAGGCGTGCAGCCAAAAAACTGGAAGATTTGAAACAAAACTGAAGGCAGCCCTCCCCCCCTCTACATCAAATATGACATCTCCACCAACCCCTTTTCAAAACTGTCGCGGAAATTCTTCAATACTCCTTTTTTGAAAGGCTAAAAGGTGTGTAAAATTTCTTGAAAATCATCCCCCCCTAGATATCATTTATATTTTGATGCCTTTCGATGTCCGATTTTTCCTCCCCCCCCCCTCATAAACAAAATTGTTTTCCGGTAATCATGAAACATATTCACCCTAGATTACTTATCAAAATGTCGCAAAAGATGTTTGTAAAAAAGGAAAAAGACGAATTCGTCTTCAAATTTAAATTTATTGAGACATCCTGTTTTCACTGAATATCTATTGGTTAAATTAGTAAAGTTATACTGGGAAAATAATCAACTTTGATTCATTTGCATAACAAATTCTTGGGATTTCTTTCTTTCAGAAAATTCCCCTTTTTTCTCTCTCACTCACTGATCATTTGATACAGTGAGTAGTGCCAGAAAATACATTTTTCAAGATAATTTGTGCGTTTTTTCTCTAGAATGAAAATTAATATGAAGTATGAATGTGAATGTCTTGTTTAGAGTTAACTGTAGAAAGTCGTAATACTAGTTCACCCACATAATATGTCCGGATCCGAATCATGACCTTATTAAAAAATTATAGTAATATCATTTCAGAGAATTTTGGGGTGTATACTGTATATACGTAAAATTTTCTTGATATTTTCACAAAAATTATTTTTTTCTCCAGATGTAAAGGTATGGTTATTTTTTAAGGCGTTTTCGCTGACTGGGGGAAATAAATAAAAGTTAAGGTAATAAGTATCAAAAAGGAAACTTCCCTTTGATGTTCAATTTTTTGTTCATCAAAAATAATTTTTTTCGGAGTAATTTTTGATATTTTTTACCTAGCTACAACTGGCAGGTTTAAAACACTTTTACTCAAAATTTCGTTAATTTTATGCCAATTAAGAATTCAAATCATTATTCAAAAACTGAAGAAAAAAATCTATTATTGGAAGGGAAGGTAGGGAGGGTTGAAGGAGGGAATGGTTAGGTAGGGAAAGGGGAGTGAAGGGGGGAGGTTACCTATTGCATCCTCCATCTCCATGAGCCCAGGATAGCACTCAGCATATCCATAATCTGAGGACATGAGGCTGCCGGCATCCTTCTCCTTCTTCTTCTCCTTATCCTCTTCCTTCTTCAGCAGATTCTGAAAACAATATCGATAAAAAAATGTAAAAGCCGTTGAATTTTGAAACACTTGAAAAAGACAAATTTTGGAAGAAGAAAAATGTAGATTTTATGTAACCCCCATGGAAACCATGGGTTTCCAATTATCGCTCATTTGGTCCAGCCGTTTGACCAGTTATAGCTAACAGATATTATCTATGAGCAAAGAGCTTTATAACATAAAAATGGATCAATGGACCACTTTGGAAATATTCATTGATTCAATTCTTCCCTAATTAATTATGTTCTCCATAAATTCTTTTTTTTCAAATTGGTATTTAATCGAATAATTGTTCTAATTTTCTTGCTTAGAAAGACTGTAAGCGTAATTTCAAGAGACCCTCCATGCAAAAATGACTATGCCCAACTTTAAACAGAACAAGTAAAAGTTTTGTCAGATCAAGAATGAATTATATATCTATGCTAATGATTTCTCTGCAAAGGTAACTTGCGCATTTCTTGCTGATCAAAAAAATGGAGAAAATAATAGAATTAAAGACTTTTCAAATCAGAAAAACTACGTTCTTCCACATTTTTTAAGGTGTCAAGGGTACCGATGTCAGTCGGGCATTGCTATCTTTGAATGGACTGGGGGGTCACTTGAAATTACGCCAACAGTTGAATTAAAGGTTGCAAGGTTATATCATACTTTAGATTATGACGACAATGCTAAATACTTGAAACAACATTGCACTTTTTAATCATCATAGGTTCTATAATTTTAATTTTCATAAATCCAGTCTAATCTCTAATCAGTACCTTGATCATTTGTTTATCCTGGGTTGAGAATCCTCCCTTGTGTTCATCCTCGCCCTCCCCGTCAGCAGGCTGGTCAAAATATGACCTAGAGTAGGTTTAAATATAGCAGGCTGGTCAAAATATGACCTGGAGTAGGTTTAAATATAGCAGGCTGGTCAAAATATGACCTGGAGTAGGTTAAAATATAGCAGGCTGGTCAAAATATGACTTGGAGTAGGTTTAAATATAGCATGCTGGTCAAAAGATGATCTGGAGTATGTTAAAATATAGCAAGCTGGTCAAAATACGACCTAGAGTAGGTTAAAATATAGCAGGCTGGTCAAAATATGACCTGGAGTAGGTTTAAATATAGCAGGCTGGTCAAAATAAGACCTGGAGTAGGTTAAATTATGGCAGGCTGGTCAAATTACGACTTAGAGAAGGTTTAAATGTAGCAGACTGGTCAAAATACAACCCGGAGTAGGTTTAAATATAGCAGGCTGGTCAAAATAAGATCTGGAGTAGGTTTAAGTATAGCAGGTTGGTCAAAATATGACCTGGAGTAGGTTTAAATATAGCATGCTGGTCAAAGTACGACCTAGAGTAGGTTTCAATATAGCAGGCTGGTCAAAATACGACCTAGAGAAGGTTTCAATATAGCAGGTTGGTCTAAATATGACCTGGAGTAAGTTTAAATATAGCAGGCTGGTCAAAATACGACCTGGAGAACAGCAGGCTGGTCAAAATAAGACCTGGAGTAGGTTTAAGTATAACAGTATGGTCAAAATACGACCTGGGATAGGTTTAAATATGTCAAATGAAAACAAAATTTTTTTTAAAAAGTTGACCTTTTAGCATCCTCCTTCTTCTCTCTTCTGTCTCTTTTTTCATCTCGTCCAGACCTATCTTTTCCCCTTTCCCTATCCCTATCCCTGTCCCTGTCCCGTTCTCGGTGCCTGTCACCATACCTGAAAGGAAATGATCGTAAAAATTGAACGGGATTTCAGCACATAACAGGTAGCATAGAGGGATCATTGTCGCGGACGGCCCTGTCTGAGTAACCCAACAGAGATTTACTATTTACTAATCATACAGGTGCATATAGGTGTATATTTCTGAGTAATCAATCAATCGAGGTGTAGAATTATTGATTGTTGTATATTTCCACAGTGTGTCAAGCGGTTCCGGGGAAGGAGCGTGGCTAGAACTTAGTAACAGTAATTAGGGAAATACTAATATTTTCGTTCTTTAGGCTCATTGTGCTATTGTACATGGACGTTGCGGCACGTCTAAACTTGTCTTAGACGTCGGTACGCGTCAATGATTCTTCTATGCTACCTGTTCTGTGGGTTTAAGCAGGGTTCCATATAATTCCATCTAATAAGGAACATAAGGAAATGAAATCTGTAAGAGATTACCATGTGGACCCCCAGATCTCAAAATCACAAATCACAAATGTTGATTGACTGGTATTTGAGGCAAAAATTAACCATGTTGTTGTTGTAAACAATTAGAAGTATGATGTCAAGTTAAAGAAACAATTTTATACTGCAGAATGTATTTGGCAAGGGAGTGTATAGTAATTCATAATTTCTTATATTGATTATACTGATATTTACATTGAACGCCGCAAATGCAGTTTACATTTTTGAAGTGTAGTACACGTACAGCGTACACAAAAAAACTTGCCAAAGTTCACAATGACACAGAAAGTGTATTTTCATATTTTTGGGCATTAAAATCTATGTAACATAAATAATTCAAAATAAAACAATGAAAGCAGTGCACGTGATTAGTAGCTAATATTCGCAATTTGAGAATTTTAAAGTTGAGGCATAATTGATTAAATAGCGGTACTAGATTTGGGTCACTGATATATATTTAGAGGATTTCTGCCAACAACCTTTTCGTTGAAGTATTCAGACTATCATTACAATGCTGGGCCTCTGATTGAATGATGGTATGATTTGCAAGCATTTTTAAAGGGTATCTCTTCGGAAGAATTGAAAACGGTTCTGTATAAAAACCTTTATTCATTTATCCCAAAGAATAATATTTAGAAATTAGCGGGAAATAGATAAGATACACCATGCAACGTGATTTCTAGAGAAGACTGCACGGAATTCAGGCGACCATATTATTTTAATGTCAACGTATGTACTATGTATGCATGTCGGTTTAAAAATACTAAAGTTGTTTTAAGTTTAGTGGTGATAATAAATAATAAATAAAAACAACTTTCCTAGCAAATGTCAATTTAAAGGGGAAATATAAGGATGCAATTGTAACCACTAAATACAACCCGATTTAATTTAAAAAATCTGAACTTTCGCCATTTAAAACTTTTGTGAACTTTCACTTTCTGTCCCTTATTTTTCACATGAGTTGTTGACATTTTCCTTACACAATTTTGACCTTAGAGTAAAGCATTAATTCTAAAAGTGGTTTTGATATCCAATGTGCGCTTCTGAACAGTTGGTATAAGTAGAGAAAGCGAAACTGACGTTTCAAAATATGAACTACAAAATACAATTAGAATAAACTTAAGTTTTAAAAATTATATATTCATCTTACCTATCTTCGTCCCGTCTATCCCTGTGATCATCCCGTCCATCTCGTCGATCTCTGCGATCCCTGTCATCTCGCCGATCATCACGACGATCTCGACGCTCCTCTTTCCTGAAAGCTTGATTTTTAAAATCTTGTTTTCTTCAGTCATTTTGTATAAATCTTCTGTTAAGCATTTCGTCTACCTCGTCTATTTCGTTAATTTCCTTGCTTCGTTCATTCGTCAATTCGATAAATCGTTTATTATTTTATTCGTCAATTCGTCTACCTATCTGTTCGTCTATTTGTTTCGTTTCTTCATTTACCCGTTTATTCGTCCATTGATACATTATTGATTCATTCGTCTTCTCGGACCTTTGTTTAAAAAAAAAATAGTCATTTTTTTATCCATCCTTCTGTGTATTCGACTAAATATTAAATTACATGGTCACCCACAACGGATGAGACTTCAGAGACGACTGTGGTGAATTTATACTATTTGTTTCTTTATATTCATGATTTCCTACAACTGTAGACTTGTTACTTACTTAGCCTTGACATTGAATAAGCCATAATAAAGATTATATTCAAGGCAGTAGATTTAACCTCGGAATCCTCAAATTTAAAGAGTTTCTGGTCGTCTTTACAGTCTCGAGTAACCCTGTATCTAAAGTACCTAGGTTTGTAGTCGACAATATCCTCGTAAATAGGTAAATCCTCTTTTTCCGTTTTAATCAGATTATCCAGCAGACCCAGTTTATCCTAGACTCAAATACCAACATTCAATTTTATTCATATGTGTTTAGGATCCGGATTCGTTGGATCCACAACATTTTGGCTTTCTGGATCAGGATACGGATCCGGATCCAAGTTGCAAAATAACAACAGTTTTTTGTTCTTTAACTGTTGAAAGAAGAGATATTATAAAAAATTTCCTCATAACTGAATGGTTCATCAAGTTTTAGCATAAAAAAAAAACAAGAAAAAAGTTAAAAATTCTTGTTCTGTTAAAAAAAATCACTAATTCTGAATCAGCGTCAAAGTTAAATGGATCCTTAGCACTGTAATCATAACAAACTGTAAACAACAAAGACATCAAATTCCAAACGACGGATTTCGATAATAATATTTTTAACTGTAAACAAAAATATTAAAAAAATGTTAAAATTTAGTTTAGTTCGCTAAAATTTCAATTAAAGTTTTTTCTTCTTGTTAAAGATTTTTAATTCAAAAATGACAACTGTCTTGAAATGGCGAAACAACAAAAAAAACTATAATTTTATAAAAAGAATTGAATTGAGATATTTTCCTTCTTCTTCTTCTTGTTCCTGGAGCCGGCCCTGAGGTAGGAGAGGATCTGGGTCAGCTTGTTGATCACAATATCGTTGGTAGACAGCGTAGCCTAGATCAATCAATCAATCAAAATCAATTATTAAACCAATTAATCAATATCCCTATTGATCCATAAATCCATAAACTCATTAATCCAATAACCCATAACCCAGCAATCCATAAGTCAATCAATTCTTCAGTCCGTAATTAATTGGTCAATCAATCAATCCATCCGATGACGAACTAATAAAATTATTCATTAATTCATCAATGAATTCCTTAACCAATTATTTACTTTTTCAAATAACTTATTAATAAATGAATCAATTATTTTTAAAATAGTTAAAATGTTTGAGTCCCCCCCCCCTCATGATAGGGTTAATCCATCAATCAATCATTGAATTAATCAACCATACAATATACATAAAAACTTTTTACTTATAATTTTGATAAAAATGTTTTCTCCAGAATAAGTTAAAAATATAATTGTTATGAATAATTTTCGCTCTAACACCTGTATTTAAATAGGGGAAAAAATAAAAATGTTTTCTTCAGAATAAGTTAAAAATATAATCGTTATGAATAATTTTCGCTCTAACACCTGAAAAACAATAACTGATTGATCAAGAACTAATAATATTTTTTAATAGATTTCTACCTTCTGTTCGTTTAGGGTCACATCTTTCTTACTCCTGTAAACCAAACAAAACCAAGTTATTACAAGTTTAAGGTTTATACATTTCATTTCAATTTTAAAATTCTTTTAAAACTTTAAAATAGTGGATATCGAGATCAATTCTTAATCTCCTCTTTTTATTAATCTTAAGATAAATTTAATCTTACATTGTTATTCCAGGAAAGTTTCTAAATGCATCCAATCAGAGTGTTTATTGTAGAAACCGAACAGCCAATCAGAAATCGAGAAATTTTGAAACTTTGCACGCACTCAATGAGATAACTCTCGTTGATCGGATTCCAGCAGAGATATCCAAGTGAGAATTAAGAAGAAACCGAAGTGTCCACCGTGGATACAGAGATTTAGAAATTCGGATTAAGAGTACCCAATACAAGAGTTTTCAGCTCACAACTGAATTAAATGTAATGCCAATTTACTACTAATTGTTAGTGTTAACCCAGTGCTTAGGATCCATTTCATTTTGATGCGGATCCAGATCCTGGAACCGCACTGGAAAAAAATGGATCCGGATCCAAATCCGGATCCGGATCCAGTTCATTTTTTTAAGATTTCTAAAACCATTCGGAAATGAGGAAATTTTTATAATTTTATAATCTCCCTTTTTTAAAGTTCAGATTTGTGTTTTAGGAGTAAAATTTTTTTTTTGCAGTTTTCGGTTGATATTTTACCCCTTGAATCCGGATCCAGGAAGCCAAAATCGTGCGGATCCAACGGATCCGGATCCTAAGCACTGGTCCTTATTAAGTTTAACTTACAAATCCCTCATTAAAAGATGTACATTGTACATGCCCGATTCAGGACGTTACCCTTTCATCATTTGTCTGAGGAAAAATAATAAAAATATTCTAGTTTCTCTATCTGATAAGGGATAATTTTTCAATTGGGGGTTTAAGAGTGACTTACGGATTCATGCAGCAGAGAGAAAAAGGTGTTGACAAAATTTATCTTTTTAAACGATCGAGAAACGACGATATATTTTTACACAGATAAGGTTCAATTTTTGTACTGTTGTCAATCGGTCATGTGACTCTATAAAGGGCGGGTGAGCTAAAATTGATTGGAAAGTCCTTTTAAAGGGACTGTAGACGTAATTTCTAGGTAATATCCGTTCAAAGACTGGCATGTCCAATTTACAATGGTATCCTTCCATGTTCTGAATGATCAAGCATTAATTAGATATCGATGCTTTCTTTTTGACAACTGATACTTTTTAATTGCGACTTTGATACAAAAGTGGGTTGCGCATTTGTGCAGGAAAAACAATTGAAGAACTATCTACTATAAATACATTTTAAGCGAGAAAAACGAAGATGTTTTCTTATAAATGCCAAAACAAGGGCCCCTTATAAAAGGAATGCAAGTTTAATTTCAAATGACCCTCCATGCAAAGCGTACAATTCCCTATTTACAACTGTACCGTTAAAAGCTTTGTCTGGTCAAGTATGAATTGAGTAGTAGTTTTTATAATTTTAAAATCTTACTGTTTTCTGCAAAAGTGACTTGCGCATTTCTACTGCAGGTTAACATAAAGGGAGACCATACAAAACATATCACCACAAAACTTATCACCACAAAACTTATCACCACAAAACTTATCAAAACAAAACTTATCTAATAACAAAACTTATCAAACTACAAAACTTATCATCACAAAACTTATCAAACTACAAAACTTATCAAACTACAAAACTTATCAACTAACAAAACTTATCATCACAAAACTTATCAAACACAAAACTTATCATCACAAAACTTATCAAACTACAAAACTTATCAAACTACAAACCTTATCAAACTACAAAACTTATCAAACTCAAAACTTATTAAAATAACTACAAAACTTATTTTTCAAAACATTTTTAAAAGTTGTTCAAGGGTACACTATCAAAGCTTGCACACATAGCCTTCAGGTCTTGTTCTTGTTCTCTTTGTATTTGTTGTACAGATGATTTTCATCATCCTTAAGTAAGTTTGTACCCTTTTGTGAGAGAACAAAATTAGCCTCCATCTCGGTGGAAAGGGGCTGGAAAACTGAGCTTTTACCTAATTTTATATTAAAATTCGCGGATTTTAAAAAAAATTGTTGGAACATTTCCATAATTTGAAAATTTAGATTCATGAATTTTATTGATAAGTTTTAATTTTGATATGTTTTGTAGTTTGATAAGTTTTGCAGTTGATAAGTTTTGTTTTGATAAGTTTTGTAGTTTGATAAGTTTTGTGATGATAAGTTTTGTCGCTGATAAGTTTTGAAAAGATAAGTTTTGTGGTGATAAGTTTTGTGGTGATATGTTTTGTATGGGCTCCACATAAAGGAATTCTCATGATGAAACCCTTTTCGGCCAAGAAAAACTACAATATCTTTTACATTATTGATCAGATGAAAATTTCAAGAGCACAGTTGTGAATCTTGTATTTTGAAGTTTTGTTCAGTTCCCTTAAATGGAGAGTACATTTAAAATATCTTTAACAGTCCCTTTAGATCAATGAACTTGAAGGTTGTGTGTTCCTGATGGTGGTGGTGGGGATATCCGATTCCGTTTCTTCCTCCAGCTCCATCACGTAGGCCATTCGTCCAGGGTGGAACAGTTCATTCACCTTAAATATTCAGATCATACTTTCTGGAATTCTAAAAAATATACACCCCTGGATTAATTGGATGATATTTTAACCAATAACCAAAAGAAGAGTGGAGGAGGGTGAAATAATTTTTCAACATAAAATTTACCCCTGTTATGTTACCTTCGGTATTTCCGGCCGGAACATATTCCTGACAATATTTCTCGCTAGAATAGTTCTCGTCTCGATCTAAAATAATCTAGGTTCGTCATCTTCTTCCTTAATCTCCTTCGCTGCCTTTTCTTTTGCTTCCAACTACCCGGACACAAACAATTGAATTAATAAGATTGTTCGTCTTCATTTCTTAGAAAATCATTATTTCCCCAAATGTTTTTTGACAGGTTTTGTTCGCTGAATTGTAGAAAATAAATGACTTGATGGGGAAAATAAATGAATTTTTGAATGAAAAGCATGAAAAAGAATGAAAAAGTTGCCTTTAGATGTCACATTTTTCATTTTCCCCAATTCATTAAAAATCATTCTCTCCCCCAGGGCCACATGTAAAAAAATTGTAAAAAAATACACCCCTGAATACATTTTTTAGCGAGGGTGCACTGAAGTTTCTATTTGTTGAGAAAACTAAATTTTTCTGTCTGAATTGCCCCCCCCCCCTAAAATTGTCTAGTTCAAAATGTTTAAACCCTAAATTCGAAGAGTGGGGGGGGGGGGTGCAGCGCAATCAATTAAATTGTTCTTCTCCCTTTTCTTCTTCCTCTCCTTGGAATTCTTCAAGCTCTTGCTCTCGAACAGATATTTCACTTCGAACCTGAAATCATTAATTCTTAGATTTTTATCAGAGCGTCGAAATTATATGTTTGTGTGCAGAATGTGTCAATACGCTACCTATGACCGTGTAGTGCATGGGGACACCTCCCTTGCATGGAAACACCTCTCCTTAAAGTCTTAAACATTTCAACACGTTATGCAGGTTTCCATGCAGATAGGTGTCCCCATGCATTCAAACAAACCGTAACAAATGTTACAATTGCGCCCCTGGGTAACAACATTTACACAATTTTGTCCAAGTATTGGACGATTAAAAAAACACAGGCAACGTCGGGTACTTCAGCTAGTACAAAATAAACTAAGACGTTCCAGAAAATTGTATTATCTCCGAAATATTATTTCCTAACAGAATTTGGACTTTTTTCTCTATTATCTTAATTAAATATGAACTAATGAAATATTAATTGGATGATGAATAAAGATTAATAAGAACGGCCGGTATCAAAGTCGATGTTAAAGGGGGATGGGAAAATAGAAAAATTTCTAGCATTCAACGCCTAAAATTACGTTTTTTTTGGCAAATTACATTTTTTAAAGTGGGCCATGTCAAATTCCAAAAGGCACCCTTTAAACCCTTCATCTAATCCATCATGTGGAAGATATCATCGTTTTCCTAGCTCGAAACAAGATATCATCGTTTTCCTAGCTCGAAACAAAGTGAAATCGAAATATTTTTTTCCTTTTGGAAACCCCACAACTAACAATAATCAATTTTCACTGAGAAAACGTGTATTACTCCTTGATTGTTGATTAGTCCCTTAAAGTAGATAATTCTAATAGATTATGAACATATTATTAATAGATTATTAAAAAATAATAAATGTGATATTTACCTTTTGCAGTAGAGCAAAATCCAGACCTTTGACCAAGTGAGTATGCTCCATGTCTCCACCAAGATATTTTGATTCCTGAATCATCTGCCTTCGACGTTCCGCAGCGTCGTGATTTTCACGCGCATTCGGTGCAACTGCCCTGCAACAGCATTTCGGTTCATTAAATGAAATGTTGAATAAAAAATACATTTAGGACCGCTGCACCAGGTACCTGTACGCCGTCGCCGTGTCATCCGCCCCGGGCACGCTCTCTCCGCCGTCTCTTCGCTCGGCGGCTCTGTCCCTGTATTTGGCGGCAAGTTCGGCCATTTTATCCTCCTCGTCTTTTTTCATTTTAGCGTAGAAATTCTTCTTTTTTCTTCTCTCTGCAGCCTTGCCAGGATCCAACCTAGCAGAGCATTCATTGTTAAAACATTGAAATTAATTTTTACAACATAATTTGTTTATGTTATGTCCTTAACTTGAAGGGCGCTTTTTGACCATCTTTTTTGTTTTTACTTGTGCTTTAACAATTAATTTTTCGGAAGAAAAAACAACCAAACAACCAACAGAAAAATTAAATTAGGATCCGACGTTATTTTAAAAGTTTGAACCGGTCAGTTATTTTGCTTGAACATAAATGTAACTTATATCAGGTGCAACCATTAACTTTTGCAATTTTCTCTCAATAAATCCTCTTGAAATTGCAGTTAATACCTTACAATCCGTATTTTCTGGACAATTTTAGAAAAGTAAGTCAGCGTTGTCGTAATAAATATTTTTAATTCCTTACTTTCCTCTCGAGGCGTCCTTTCTCATGCTAGAGGGCGTTCCCATTGACTCGTAGAAGGGGGTGGAACCACCTCCTACCCGAGGCGTCATCATCAATTTTCTAAAATATCGTTTTTAAGAAACTGAGATGATAGTTTTCGCAAATGGAACTTCAAAAATAAAGTAAATTTTTATTAACAAGTTTTTATTTCACCTGAAATCTGAATTGGAAAGCCGTTGACTCCCCGGCTCCTGGGGAATGGCCGGAGCCACAAATTCGTCGGCCCCCATTTCTCTGCAATATCACATTTTTAACAATTTAAGCAAAAATTTACGTTTTTTGGTTGCAAGAGGGGAAATGAATGTTAGTAAATTATAAAAATTAATGTTGAAAACATCAATTCAATTTGAAAATGTTGAAATTTCAACCCTCCCAACCCCTTTCCTCCTAAGCATCCCAAAATGTGACAAACTGGACAATAGAACGCAATTAATTGTATCTTGGATCAAAGGTGACCCAGTTTCCTTTCGGTAGATTCTGCGCAGATTTATGCGTCGAGAACAGTTTTTTGTAAACCTCGCTGCTATTCGGATCATCCTGCACGGACTTCGGTTTAGATTTGATCTTGCTCAGATCTGTAGTCTTCTTCTGGTTCTTGAAGGCGGAAACCTCATCCGCCTTGGCTTTCTTCAACGGCGGTTCTTCGTCGGAGGATTTTCCGTTGGAAGATTCGCCGCTAGATGAGTTGGGAACCTTAAACTCGGTCTTAGACTCCGTCTTACATTTTTTAGCTTCCTTAGCCGCCTTTTTAGCCGCCTTAATCAGGGCTCGTCGGGCATTCATCTTAGAGCTCATTCGGTCTGAACAGTTTATCTCTTAGAATATAATCACGAAGATTGTTTGCACTTATTTCCTTAAATAAGCACTGTGAGGAAAATTCGTTAATATTATTTCCCGTTAAAGCTCAGAAAACAAAAACCCAATAACTCCAATAAAACAGAGTTACATAAGCTAACAAATTATTAAAAATTGAAAAAACCCAAAAAACGTTATTTTACCTAGTTCCTCTTCTTCTGGGCTTATTGTCACAAGATCCTCCTCCTAGCGCAACAAGAATAATATATAAACCTTTAGCATCATTTTACTTAAATAATTTCGGTTCACCGATATAGGGACTTAGGGTCAAACGACAAACGGTCAAAACTCGACAAAGGGTCAAAATGGAAAAAAATATTTTATGTATTATTTTAGGGTTAGGTTAGGTTAAGACAATTTCTGGGCCGAGCACTGCGGCTAGGACAGGCTAGGGGGTCGAGCGATGCGGATTGCGGCTAGTAGTTCAAATGAACATAAAACATAACACAACAATATGTATTATTTCAAGGTTAGGTTAAGACAATTTTTGGGTCGAGCGCTGATGCTCGAACAGGCTAGGGGGCCGAGCGCTGCGGCTATTTATTCTAATGAACATAAAATAGTTCAATTTAACCAAAAAAAGTCGAAATGAAATTTTGTACGTTTGTCGCACTTTTTGAGGCCTATGTCGTTTTACCCTTGTCGCGTTTTTAACCGTTTGACGTTATACCCTATGGCATTTAACAATAGGTCGTTTGACCCTTTGCCGGTGAATCCTAATTTTTCACGATTAAAGCGTCAATTAATACGATAATTTAATGTTCGATTTACACCATTACCCTTGAAACCTTAATCTGATCTAAAATGTTGAAGACACCGTTGTTTTCCTGACTCAAAAAGTGTTTATTTTTGTGAGTTTCTCGATTGCTTCTTTTATAAAAGAAATGCAAAAGTCACTTTCGCTGAGGAACCGCAAATGATAAAAGACAGTTTGAAGAAACAAAAACATTGATATAAAATGCATACTTGATCAGACAACCCTATCAAGGGTACCGTTGTAAATCGGGCATTGCCCTTTAAAAATCTCTATTGAAAGAGAACACCCCCCCCCTCCCTCTCAGCATTGTAAACCTTGTAGAAAGGTGCTTCAGCAACATCCTTCTGTAGAACCTTGATAGCACGCTCTGCAACAACCTTAATAATATTCTTTATGATTTAGGTCCTTGTCCTCCTAATTATCATATAGCCTATGTCCTCCTTGACTATTATGTCCTCTTCGTCCATGTCCTCCTTGTCCATGTCCTTCTTGAGTATGTCCTCCTTATCCATTTCTTCTTGTCTATGTCCTCCTTGTCTATTTTCTCCTTGTCTATTTTCTCCTTGTCTATGTTTCCTTGTCTATGTATGTTTCCTTGTCTATGTATGTTTCCTTGTCTATGTATGTTTCCTTGTCTATGTATGTTTCCTTGTCTATGTATGTTTCCTTGTCTATGTATGTNAACTATTCTAGCAACTATATCAGATGTAGATACACCCTAAACAATACACATTTTTAATAAAAACAAAACAAAAAATGAGCATTAAAAACATTAATATATGTACTATGTAGTTCAAAATATTGAATAATATTGTTGATCGAAGCAGAATCTAATATAGAGGAGGAATTATCTTTAAAATAAGATAAAAAAATTAAGATAAAAAATAAAGAACAACATTTTGTCAAAGCTAAAAATCTTGAATTTAAAATTAATATAAAATTACCTCAGTTCTCTGAGTCGCAACAAACATACCCTTCTTCTTAACAAGAGCATAAACATCATCCTTAAAATATCAACTTTATCACAATCATTATCATAATAATAATAATAGTAGTAACAGTAATGATCCTATTCACAGGCAACCTATAATCCTTTGATATTTAATAGGCATCAATAGTCCGGCAATTTTTTTCATACTGCAATTTGAGTTTAAAGGCAGTGTCAAAAAAGTTTGGCTCATTGATCTTTCTGTCCAGGAACGAATTTAATGAATTTGAGCTACGTCACTGAACTGCCGGTACAAATTTGAACTACCGATTCAAAGTTAAAAATTAAGGTTTCAATTTGGAACCGGCGGTAAACAGTTCAAATTCATTAAATTCGGTTCCAGGGGATCTATTTTCTTAGTAAGTATTTCCCGTTACTTCACTTGGTAACTTTCCCTCTAAAATCTCTTTTATTATATTATGAAGATGTGCGCTTTTTTTATATTCAATCCTGTTTAAATATATAGACTGCTTAAGTGACCCTCCATACAAAGATGTCACTGCTCGATTCAAAACCGTTCTGGTGAGAATTAGATATTAATGTTTATAAGTTTGAAAATTGATTATTTTCAGTTGTGGCTACTCTTCAAAAGTGACTTGCGCATTTCTACTGCAGAAAAAACTATCAGAATTAAGTTAACAAAGAAAAAAGACAATATTTTCCCCAGTATTGTTAAGATACAGGTTTCAAGGTTACCGTTGTGAATAGGACTTTGCCAACCTTGACTTGAGGGTAACTCGAAATAACGCTCTCTGTCCCTTTAAGTTAAATTGTCTAATGAACTTAATCACATTATGAGAATTAGAACTATTAGTACAAGAGTGGTTTGTAAATCTTTTCTGCCTACAAACCCCAAGTATGGGTGAGGTATGAAATATAAAATTTTGTTACAAAAGTGTAAAAATAATAAGATTTTTTTCCACTGAAATATTTGCGTATTCTAACCTGTGATTGGACAAATCCACGGAGAGATAAGTGCGTCGTTGTACATTCCATCCCCGACGCTTAACTTTTTGGCGTCAAATGCAGGGTTTGGTGTTAGCTGAAGCTCAACCACATCCTAATATATTTATTTATGTTCAGAACTTCGGTTCTAGATTGGACTTTGCTGAATTCACGAAAGGAGATGATTTAGGAAATTTTTATTTAATTTTCTCTGCGGTAAATCTGATCTAAAGTTCATTTTATTAACATTTTTTGGTGATTTATATAAGATACGACAAGGGATTTTTCAAGTGGGGGCATGTCATTTTTTAGTGGGAAATTATATTTAGTTTTTCATATCCTCCCCCCCCCCCACATTAAATATTCCTTTTTTGAGAAAAAAAATTATTCTTGATTTAAACTGTGTCAGAAACTAGCTAACTGTATATTTTTTTAATAATCTCCCCCCCCCCCCCCCCCCCCCGGGATATAAATCCCGTTTCACCTTCAACTTCTCAATATGTTCAGTATTTGCGGGGGCGTTGATCCTCTCTTTGTTCAGTAATAGTTCTATTATAGATTCCTGGAGAAAATAAACATGGTAAAAATAACAAAATGATAAAATAATGTTTTAACGATTATAAATAAAATGTATTTTTTTAATGAGGATAATAAAGATAGTAGTGCCAGGAATGATACTGATAATAATGGTGGTAGTGATGGTAGTGGTGGTAGTAATGGTAGTAATAATAGTGATGGTAGTGATAATAGTGATGGTAATAATGATAGTGATGGTAGCAATGATTGTGATGAACGATGGTAGTGATGATACTGATAATAATGGTGGTAGTGATGGTAGTGATGGTAGAGATGGAAGTGATCGAAGTGATGGTAGTGATGATAGTGATGATGTTGATGGTAGTGATGGTAGTGATGATAGTGATGGTAGTGATGTAACTGATAATAATGGTGGTAGTGATGGTAGTGATGGTAGTAATGATAGTAATGATAATGATGAAAGTGATGGTAGTGATGGTAATGATGGTAATGATGGGAATGATGGTAATGATGATACTGATGATACTGATGATACTGATGATATTGATAATATTGATGATATTGATGATATTGATGATACTGATGATACTGATGATACTGATGATATTGATGATACTGATGATACTGATGGTACTGATGATACTGATGTTACTGATGATACTGATGATAAATTCCTACCTTGTTATAAAGTCTACCTAGCTCACAAGCAACAATAGGTTTCCTCAGAGGTTCCTGGGTTATAGCACAGTGCTGCCATCTGGTAATATTTATATTTTATATATATGTAAAAATGTATATTTATTGTTCTTAATATTTATAAATGAAAAGAAATCAAATCTGAAAGGGAACTAAACGTCATGTATATTTTCAAAATTTATTTCTTTTTACGGGGAAGAGAGACAAAGGCGGTAAAAAAGAAAAATACAAAAAAATGCTCCAAGAGTCGGATCAGACTTAAGAAGTCACAAATAATTACAAAAAAACATTTAATTTCATTTACCTGAAAAAGGCATGAAATCTGCTTGATTTCTTTACAATTATAAAACCATAAACTCTAATGCAGGTAAATAATATTTAATTTTCATTGTACCTCTTACATAACCAAAAATGGGCCCTGGAATAATAAAAAAATATCGAAAAAAGTTGTTTTTTGATTTTCCCAGATAAAGTAATATTTTCATGTTTCAGCGGGGGGGGGGGGGGTGGAGTAAATTTGTTGAAAGGAGATGAAACCTACTTGTAGAGTCTGTGTCCGTCCTTGTCCCTTTGTTCTGGTTTCTTCTTGAGTTTGACCAGCTCGTCCCTCGTCGGTATAGTTCCTCCATCACATCCCATGATTGATTAATTGATGATTTCACAATCAATATCCGGAGGAATTATCTGAAAATTTAAACCATTAAGAAACAAGTTTTTATATTTAAAATTTTATACTTTGAGAGTTAAAGACTAGCTGAGATCAGAATCGTCGTAAAGATCGCCGAAATTGTTGTAGAAGTCAGAGTGGACGATTTTGTCCTTTGCTGTCAGATCACTGAGCATTCCAGAAGCGCTCATAATACCATCACGAACCTGAATAATTGAGTTGATTTATGACAGCGTATATAATTACTAATAAAGACGCCAACCCCCCCCCCCCCTTTAAATGTTTTCCATTACTTTTTTAAGCTACAACCTCTTCTTATAATAAACGCTTTCGTTTTCCCTTTGAAGTCTTAACATTTTCCTCTAATTAATCGTTTACCCTGAAAATACCTATCTCTGATTCTGGATTTGAAAACAAAAATAATTACAATCTAAATGTAATTTCTTTGAAGAAATACGAGGGGGTGGGAGAGGGGTGTAAGTAGGGGAAAAATATTTTTCTCATCACGATTTAACGCACTATGGTGTTTATCTAGTTCAAAAATTAAATTAAGTTTTAGTTTTTCATTAATTTCTTTTAATGATTAAATGATTAATTGCTTTACCCCATCCTCTGGGTCTACATAGTCAAGTCCACCCCCAGGACCGTCAGGGAACATCTCGTCGGCCACCATCTGTCTTCCTCCCTGACCGGACATTATTCTCTGAAATATTCAGACGATTATTACAAAATATTCACGATTATTTAAAGTTATCAATTCGACTTAATGCGATTTGTAGGACTTTTGACTTAACTGAGAATCACGTCGAGAATCCCTTTAAAAATGAAGGTTACACATTCAATGTGTTTCCGAATTAAATTGATGCGTTTATTTTGGTTACATTCTTTTTTCTCTTCAATATTAAATACTTTTTTTTTGATTTTCATTGCATAAATTTTAAGAAAAAATGAAGATTTGTTTAAGTTGAATAACTTTGAATAACAACCTTGTAATCAATGAAATACTATAACATACAATTCTTAAAAATATAGATACAGAATAAACAATATTTACGAGTATAAGGTATTGAGTAGGAGTTTGAATTAAATGTTTTGAGTATTATTTCTTCTTCTTGAACATAGGTAAACACTTGGGACAATACCATTTCCCTTTGGGTTTAGTGGTGAGGCTCATGCACCCAAAGTGAAACCATTCAATAGGACAATCCTGGTTATCACAGCCAATCATTTCCCCGTAGGAGACCTGTCCACAAAGGCAGTAGGTCGGCTCGTTCGGATCAACCGGCATATCCAGCACCTCCTGGGGGACAGACAGGATACCAAACGGAGTTTGAGTCACTGAAACATCGGCTTTACTATTCTTCGTTTTCTTTTGTTTTTTCTCTTCCTCTCGCGCTTTCTTTCGCTTTGGGTCTTTCAGGTTCTTTTTCTTCCCCTTCTTCTCTTCTTCTTGTTCTGTTTCCTCTTCGCTTTCGGTTTGACTGAGGCGTCCCTTCTCTTTCATTTCTGCCTCAAACTTGGCAAGATCTGCGTCAAGTTTCCGAATATGTTTGTCAACTAGCTCATAGGTCTGTATGGCAATCTGGACCTTGTCGTCCGACATCTCCTTGGCTTTCTTGAACATTTTCTGGATCTTCTCCATTTCCTGCTTCCGCTTAGAGGGACTTAGATCACGAACCTTTCGCAGGTAATCATCGCTCGAGCTATCAATTTGTACCATAGTGTCACGGTTCCTAAACAAGGTAAGATGAAAATAAATCAAATTTACATAACTATTAACGCTAACTCCTAAACATTCTTGAGAGATTTGGTAACATTTCAAATTGAAGTTTTATTGAATGATTTGGGGATATAAAGGAGTGCTTTAATATGATTGTTAGTGTTGATATGAGTGTAAAGCTCCGGTGCCAAATGGTCCATTTAAAAAAACGATAACAAGGCCCACTAGACACAGGGTTTTAGTGAGCGTAGATTTCATTAAAATTATATTTTAAAAGTCTGAAAGATTCTTACAAAAAAAAACAGACAAGTTAGTCTAAATAACTTATGTTTTAATCAGTTTTTTCCATGAAAAATGAAATAGTTCATGATATAGAGTAATATCCAAGAAAACAGTGAAGATATGACAACGACCTGAGCACAATATTTATTTCAATCCATAACAAAAGTGCACTTTTTCAGTGTTACGTGTTTAAAAAATAGGGTCCATCCTAGTATACCATTTCTGGACCCCCTTTCCATATTATCAATTTTGTACATGACAGCTTATTTTACAGCAGTTATTAATATTTATTTTGTTATTATTTTAGGGTTAGGTTAGGTTATGACAATTTCTGGGCCGGGGGCGGGTCCACAAATAGTTCTCTAGGAAATTACCAAAAACTACTCTATAGCTAGGAATAAGTACTTCAAACTTTAGGTATCAAACAAATTCCTCTTTCAAAACATAGAATAGAATACAACCGGTTCGCTTTAAAATTCGTATCACCGTTCATCTAATGATAAAAAAGGTAATTTCCTAGTATACGATTTTTGGCCCCGGCCCCCCTCCTCCAATCAATTTTGTACATGAATCTTAAATGTCAGACATGGGGCCGCAGCGCTCGGCCCCCTAGCCTGTCCTAGCCGCAGCGCTCGGCCCAGAAAGTTGGGGGGGGGTCCAAAAATCTTTCTCTAGGAATATACTACCTTAATTGAAAATATACGTCCTTTATTTCAATAGCACATACCTCTTGTCCAAATCGTGCATTTTATTAAAGTTTGATTTGAGCTCTGTGGGCAAATCTTCTAAACTATCCAGATACTGCTCTAGGTAGAAAGTTGAGCCAGCCATTTTAGATATGTTTTTTTTATCACGCACGCACGCAGCGAATACTAGATTGCGCACTTTATCCTAGAAATATAACTGTTTTGTTTCAGAACGCTGAACGATTTTCGATTGAAGAATTTGCGCATTCGCAATCCGCGGCATTCTGAATTTGTTATTATTTAGACAAAAGACCCTGGACTTTCAACTTAAAATTTTATTACTTTAAAACATTTATTACTGTCGAAATTTTCCAATTTCCTGTTGAGAACAAGACAATTTTAATGTAAATTTAAATTTCGGTCGAAGTATATTTAATGAAATAATTTCAATAAAAATGTTTCAGGGCCCATAAAATCCTATTTGATTTACAATTGTTTTACCGCGCCGGACTGAACTTGGCTTAGCCTGTCTGCCCGCCGTGCCGGGTCCGACTCAGCCAAAACAGTCAAAATAGAAAGTTTGGGTCGTCGCCCTGTAGCCCAATTTTTAGGTCGTCTCAGGCGTTCAGTTGTGTTTTAGGCAAAAAATTGTCTCGAGAAAAGTTGAAATTTGAGCTACAATTCTCGTTAAGTGACCTTCAAGTACGGCACAGTCCGTCTTTGTTTTTTTTCTGAAGATACCGTTATTTTTTTTGGATACGCATAAATTTTATTGTTTCGATCCATGCGCGCGCTGTGTGTCTATAATAGTGAAAAATTTATAGTTTTTTGTCTTAACTCCTGAAGAATTTATGAAAAGTTTTTGCTTAGAACAGTGATATTTAAAAGTCTGTTATTGTACAGTTAGATTGAAACTTGAACATTTTTGTACACGAGTCGAGGATACAAAGGGTCTGTCCTAGAGAACGATTTTTGGACCCCCCCCTTCCAAAAATCATTCACTAGGAAATTACCTTACAAATCAAGTAATTTTTTTAATTGTCAATATATTCCCAAAATTTTATGATCTTTTTAAAAGAGTTGTTATGCAAGAAATTTATTGCAAACATTTTGGTAAATACAATGTTTCAAAATTGCTATCATTTTGGAGTAAATTGATGTTTTCATTAGAATCAATGTCAGTAAATTCCAAAAATTAAGAAATGCTAGGATTTTTTCTTTTCAACCCTAAATCTACGTATAGGAAAATCCGAAAAATCCTTGTTCATTGATTTTTTAGGCTTTTTATTTTTAGGTTTATCATGTAAGTATTTTTACGGATATGAAATACGTATTTTTACCAAGGAAATGGTTACGAAAATACGTGTGTCATAAGTATTGAAAATATGTATTTTTACGTATTCCAAACCTAAAAATACGTATATATGGGTCAAATTTTCAATAAAACTATGATTTAGTGGGACTAGCACCGAGCAAAACTTGTGAGCGAGGAGGGGGTGCACTCCCGCGCAATTTTTTAAAGAAATTAACCTCAAAAGTGAGTGTTTTAACTGTTAAAAGTAGAAAATGACTCAAAATATATATGTAAAATTATTGCTTTAGAATTTTACTTCAAAATTTTTCAAGAAAAATATAGATATATTATAAAAGGATAGGTTTGCAAGGTAATTAGTCGCTCGAGGATATCTCAGTTTAAAAAAAAAACTTTTATTTCAAATACTATCGATGGTTTTGTTTTTTGTTACTAAAAACGTGCTTCAATGTTAATTTCAAAATAAACTTAATTCTAAAGATAGAAAAGAAACATATTCTATTACTTTCAGGGGTTTTTTAAGCTTTGAATCTATCAGATTTATGAAAAGTAAAACGAAATGACTGCAACCCTCTGAGGGAACACACACACCTGGGCGGCTTAGGATATATTTTATCCCCTCCCTGGGAAAAATGTCCCCTCTTGGAATTTTATACAGAGAATGTGGTGACGTTGATGTCCAACACAAGCTGGGGATGGGAGGGGGAAATGTGCTTCCTAATTTTGGATTGTAATAAATTTTATAAAAATCTTGCTTTAGAGGGAATAAGTGGCGCCGCAGGGAAATATTTTTAAAAATCTATTCTTGGAAAGCAAAATTAAATGGCTACATCCCGCCATTCCCCACATCCTAAGCCTGACACTGCACACACACAGACAAATAACAAAAACAATATTTACACATTTTAAAATTATAAATCCTTTCTTCCCCAGAGAATAGGTTGATTTGACCAAAAAATTAGTTTTTTATCCGCTGAAAAACAATTTAAAGTAAACTTTAGGTTAGTCTCCAGAAAATGGAGGGGGGGGGGGTTAAAAGATACTCTTGATCCCCCTTTTTTAAAAGGTGGGTCGTCGTCCCCTAAACCCCCCTCTGGATCCGTGCATCTTTTTTCTTCTCTAAATTGGAAAAAAAATAGGATTTTCTGAGTTATAAGTGTCTAAAAGGAGAAGAAGAAGGCAGATGGTGTAGGTTTTTCGATTTTTTCTTTAAAACTTTAAAATTCTTTCAAATCAGAAGGATTCAGCGTTCGACAGATACTTTTGTGAGAAAAAAATCTGATTATTCTTTCGGGTAATTTATCTTATAGCATTATCTGAAAATGAACAAAATAATGACAATAAAACGGTTCAGGCGGGGCGATCACTAATAAAATATTTAAAACTATTAAATTGTTTTCTACTTCAGGCCTAAGACAAGCCATGCTAGCTTTAGAATCAGCGACATTAGAGGTTAGTTGGACTTTGAGTAGATATAGAAAAAAATTTAACAAATTTTGCTGTTCCCCTCCCCCCCCCCCCCTGTAGGTTCAGAATTTAGATCTAAAAATCAATTTTTCAAGAGATAATACAATAGTTTATTTAATTAAAGAAAATTCCTGATCCCAGGCAATCTCACCCCTCAATACTTCCTCTTAAGCATATCAATCAATCACGCCTGGGGTCACCTGTTAAACTATTACTGTTTGGTTATAAAGGTTGTATTTTAGAATGTATTTTGTATTTCTCTAGAAAACAAAATCAAAAGTTAAACTAGAAATTACTAAATTAGATTCAATATTAACTTGAAACAATTTTCTTTGAAGTTTTCTATAAAAGCCTTGTTTAATAAGTTTCAGTTACAGCCCTGTATTTAACCTTTTGTAATATTAAAAATGTAAAAACCCCGTTTCCTTTAGCCTAGATAAGTTTTTTTCAAAGAATATTATTAAATAACTACCCCTGGACTCACTAATATGCAAGTGCCACAACATTAAATGAAAAAAAAGTTGTCTGCGGCATCAACTATGCATTTTAAACTGCATCTCTATGGGGATTATTATGCAGTACAGTATACATCAAAAAAAGAGGAAAGGGGGAAAAGAAGTAAAAAATATTATATACACCCCGACAGTCATTACCTACATCCCCCACCCCCAGAAAATATATCCTTTAATATTGTTTTCCTATTTTTCTGGCTGAGAGGTTTCGAAAAATCATGGTTTTCATTTATCGGAAAACTTGAAGGGGAACAAACTTGTTTTTAGGTTAAACGATACATGTTGGACGAAGCCAGTATTATTTACGAATGCAAAACCTGCAATAACATGTTCAGGTAAAAATAAAAACTCCAAAAATTGTGGATTTAAAGCAAAGCACATTTATCCGCAATTCCATGCTCCTGATTTTTGTTAAATATAAAAATATATTGTGAAAATGTTATTCAATTTATTGTTTCATCAAAAAAAAGATAAACATCCTCAACAAATGTTATTTTTTTAAGTTTTGCAAATTTTTACATGCGATTTGGCATGCCACGAGTTCAAGAATAATTTATACGGTTCATTCTGTTTTTTTTCCGCACTTGCAAATATTAACTAACATTTACAAGAAATAACAAATTAAAATTAATTTGGACATTGATAATCATCATTATTCATTTCTCTTTTTATTTACTTTTTAAACCATGCTTATTCAATGATTTTAAAAAATGTTAAAATTTTGTTAATTAATATTTATGTCTTATTGATCTTTTTATCGGTTAGATCCCTTGGAAATCTGATTGCACACAAACGAACCTTCTGCAATAGTAGATACTCACAGGTCTTTTTTTAAAATTTAGTTTCGATACCAGAAATACGTAAAAAAAGTATTCTTTTCAAAATTTTGATGTCAAAAAAATTTAGAACGGAATAAGCTGATCGTTATCCGATTGATTTTTTCGTTAATATCTGAATACTACCGCCATATTTGCATACATATAAAAGCAAACATGTAGAGAATAAACTTATGCATTTTTTGAAATAGTACTTATTTGTGAGTCACATGAAACCCTTACTTAAATATTTAAAGGAATTAAAATAATTGTATAATTAAATGCGTTTTTTTTAGATAAAACATATATACTCAGACAAAGTTGGGAAGGATTTTGCCTCATCACAAACAGTTTTTATAGGTAAGGGATTAAATAAAAACGTCTACATTTTTTTCAAAAATTTTTTATTTAGAAAATGAAAAGGTCGAGACCGTGGTACCTGAGGAACCCTTTGATCTCCAGGCATACAGGTAAAATTAAAAATAATTAATAGAAAAAGATTGAATATATTTTCTTTAACTACTCATGAAAATTGGCCTGTGCAGAAAAAGGGGTGAGGGGGGACTTTATCAAGGATAGGAATAATCTATATAATAAAACAAGACATTCGTTCCCTCTGGCCGGCCAAACGGTTGGACCGAATGGGCTGACATTTTTTTCCACAGGCAATGCCGGGCCCATTAACTAGTAAATTATAAACCTGATTTTAATTTTTGCTTTGATCGTAATAAATCCGTTTTAAAAATCAATTAAAATATATTCTTTCGCGTCTGCTAAATGGTTTTAAATTTTTGAAGTGGTTCCAATGTTCTAGCAAAACAAACAATTAGACGAACAACTTGGATCGTTCAGAGAAAAAAAACCGCTAGTTTTTAAAAACAAGAAAAATCGTTCGAGCGAACTTTAAAAACGGTAGTTTTTCTAACGGAACGAACAAATTTTACAAAAGATTTTGAAAAATCGATCGTTTTTTTCTGAACAAATATTTTCGATCAAACTTAAAAAACGATCGGTTTTTACTGAACGAACGATTTAATAAACAATCGTTCAGTAAGAAAAAGAACGAAATAGATGGAAAATGGACAATAATGTTAAGAAATAACAAGTTAATTTTTTAAACGACTGAAAAAAAAACGAACGTAATGGTTCGTTTTCGGACGATGAACGAACGAAATGCAAAAAAAAACCGAACGCGTCCATCTCTAATGTTAGCCTCTTGGCCCGAAAGGGTGAAACGATCTTCATATTAATTTCAAATTTATTTAGTCCCAGCTTGAATTTACTGAAGGAAGCTGAAATATTACGAGAGCTAAAGGTTAGTGATTTTATTGGTTGTTAATCGTAGGGGTTAATGATTTCGTCAAGGGAGGGCATTGTTGTAAGGTCTTCTTTTACACACTAACTGTTATGTTCTCTCAGAATCTGAAATGTTCAACACGTGGCAAAATCAGATTATGATATTTTTTTTCCCGCCAAAGATATGAATGATCAGAATACAAATTTTGCATAAAATAAGAACACATTTTGAAATAGATTAAAGGGGGTGACCGGCAATCTATGGTGGTTGAACTGAATATGTAGTATTGTGGGAAAAAATTAGGATTCATTTGAGACATGCGTTTCTACGACGTATATTTACTGAGTTTGAGCGCAAAGTCGACGTTCAAAATCATGATTTTGGGTGGGTACGTTTTCAGAATCGGTTTTTTTAAATTATTAAATAACGAAGACAAAAAATGTAAACAAACTTTTTCAGTAAACTAATTTGTTGTTAAGGAACAGGGTGAGAAAATAATTTACTCTTATCATCAAAAATAAGTAATCTTATCCAGATATTACTTTCTATAATCTATCATTATTCACAAAGACTTTCTGCAGATTTTCTGGAATTTTTTTTTGAAAAGACGACATTTGAAGAATTTGTAGAAATTGCGAACAAATTCATAGAAAATAAGAAGTAAAAACGAAATAATTGATTCTAACATTGATTTATTAAAAAATTTCTTTTAAGAAATGTTCCTAAACATCTAATAAGTATGTATATTTTTACTTTATTTTACGTCGTCGTGATTTAATAATTTTTAAAAACCGATTCTGAAAACGTACCCACCCAAATTAATGTTTTTGAACGTCGACTTTGGACTCTAAATCAGTAATTATACATCATGGAAACGTTTTATATGTCTCCAATGAATCCTACAAATTTTTTTCGACAATACTGCAAATTCAGTTCAACCACCATACATTGCCGGTCACTCCCTTTAAACATCTCAGATCTTTGTGAAGCCTAATAAAATCCAAACAAGCTGGAATGTGCAAAAACGGACCAAAAAACGAAATCCATCAGTATAAGAGGGTTGGCAAAATGCCCCTCCCCCCACCACCCATTAACTACGGAAAAATACCGAAAGTTCTCCCTAAAGAATTGTGTCAAACTTGAACTTAGTCGAAGACGATTCAAACTTTATGAAGAATTAAAATTTTCACCATTAATTTTGGGAGTTCATCTATAAAGCTAATTAATTAATTAATTAAATCAAAATTCATTTCTATGCCCCTGCCTATAAAACTTTTTCTTATGTTCGTAGAGCAATTTTCAAGTCCCCCTCATCTGCCCCCCCCATATATCCTTTAATAT